ATCAGAGTGTTCCATCTCATTTCCCTTTGGGGTTGTTGTAGGTGATCTGGAAGCCTGGTTCTGAGACTTGTTTATGTGTCTTCTCATTTTGATGGGGGAGGGGGATGCTGTTGGCTCCTACAAGTCTCACCTCTTATTTACTGGGAGAGGTGGAATGGTGGCCTGGAAGACCCTACCTCTGGGCTGGGAGTGGTGGAATGGCAGCACAGAAGTCCCTTCCTCTGCAGTGGTGGAGTGGTTGAACCATGGCCTGAAAGCCCCTTCCTCTGGGCTGGGAGCAGTTGAATGGTGGCCCGGAAGCCCCTACCTCTCATGAAGATTTTTATAGTTTGTGGAGGTTTCAGTTCATAGTTCACTGGCTCCAGGGCAGGGTGGCATGGTAAAGGGGCATCACAGAGAAGAAACAATTCATCACAGGCAAAAGGCAGCAAGGCAGCCAGCACCAAGTGCAAGGGACCTCCATCTATTCTTTTATGTATACATTTATTCTCTCAACAAATATTTATTGAGCACCTAGTATATGCCAGGCATTATGCCAAGTCATTGCAGCATGATGGTGAGCTCAGCTCAGAGTTTAGTTTACTTAATAAAGCTTAATAAGATAATTTTCATAAATATCCAAGTGCAATCTGTTATAAAGAAAAAACTCAGGGATCCAAAGGATACTATAACAGATGGGCACTAACTACTTTGGGAAAGTGTTTTTAAAGAAAGTGCTGCTTTAGGCAAGATAGGAAGAATGGGATGAAAAAGCAGCAGAAAAACCTTCTAAGCAGAGCAGATGCAAAGGCACTAAGGCTGAAGGGAACATATTTTCCCTCCTCACTTCTTGGTTTGTTTATTCCACATCTGTAGGATGCCCACTAGGCCAGGCACTGTGCTGGGTCCTGGAGTCACCATGGTGTACAAGATGCAGTCCATACCCACTGCTTCAGATTTTTATGGATGTGTATGGATTTTTACTTGACCATGACTTCAAACTGTGAATACTTTGCATCAATCTATTGACAGATTACTTCCCTTGAGCTCCTAACCACACCATTTCTTTTCTGCTCCCTCCCCACTAGCTTGTGGTTGCTGTGGTCTCAGCATGGCTCAGACTCAAGCCAATGAAGTTTAGACATTATGAGGATCAACAATGTTGCAGGGTCAGGCTCACCTTCCTTCAGTCTCTTCATTGTTTTCCTTCTCCATTCTGGTGGTTTCTGAAAGAGACCAGAACAGCTTCAAAAATTGTATTCCTCTTAGATATGAAAAAGGAAGGGGATTGCAGTTTGAAGAGGCTTCTAATTCCTGGGACTTAGAAACTGCTATAACCTTATATATGGAAGAGAAGGTTACTTAACCAATGCAATTTCAGGGGGTCTGGGAAGGGGTTTTTGCATCCAAAATGTAAAAGCCTTCACTTGCTCACTGTGTCTTAAAATTTAATGTTGAACATAGATTTTTTTCACTCACAGTTCTGTCTTTGCAAATGAGAATACCAGTAAGAGGGGTAACATATTTAGTTTTAGCACTCATTTAGTAATTAGAAAAGGGTTTTCAATCCTTTTATGAAAGCAAAGTTTACTAGGGGAGGAACGGGAATCTTGAAGACACAAATGCTTAAAGGGATTAGCTAGATGGTGCTATCAAATACTTCACACTGTTACATGGACAGATCCAAGTGGGAAATCTCTAAACAGCCAGACCTTCTAAAGTCTGAGCTTCTGTTTATATGGACTTACTGCTGATGACATGACTGTTGTGTCCATACTGTTGTCCCTCTCAGAGCCTCACAGGAGAGGTTGTTAACCTGGGAGTCCATGGGGGAATTTAGAGCCATAGGGATCCTCTCAACACCACCATTAATACTTTCATGATTCAGTCTTTATTAAACTATCTTCTTGAAAACTTCCTGTCATTGGCATTTTCCTTTTATGTGTGTGCATATTTGAGAATAATTGTCTTTCTGCAGGTATAATATTAAACAATAAAATTCAATCATTTATACTATAAAATTTGGTGAGTTTAACAAATGTGTAAAGTTAAGGAACTATCACCACAATCAAGAGATAGAACATTGAAATAAGCCCCCTAAATTTTCCTGCCACATTTTAATCAATGTGTCTCCATCATATTTCCTAGTAACATTTAATGTGCTTAATGTCAAAATAATTTTGCTTTTTCTTGAATTTTATGTAAATAGGATCATATAATGTGTAGTTTCCTTGTGCCTGGCTTCTTTCACTTAGCATAATGCTTTTGAAATTATCTGTGTTGAGTATCACCAGTATCTTATTTCTGTCTCCCACTCAGAAAATATTTTATTTTGTGAATATATCCTTTTGTTAAATGATGGGTTGTCTTCTTAAGCAGCAGTAATAATAATTATATATTTTGGATATACATCCTTTGTCAGATACATATTTTATGAACATTTACATATTTTTCTGTTTGTGCTTGACTTACTGTCTTCTTAAAATCAAAGGGTAAATGATTTTCATGTTCATGAAGTTCAGTTTATCAATTTTGCTTTTTTATAATATTGCTTGTTTTTTCTGAGTCCTAAGATTTGTCTATGTAGAGTCATATAGATTTTCTTCAATGTTTTCTTTCAGAAGTCTTTTAATTTTAAGTCATATTTATGTTTATGATCCACTTTAAGTTATTTTTTGTAGAATCATAAGTGTATATCTAATTCTCCCAAAACCATCGGTTGAAAAGACTCTCCTTCCTTTCTGCATGGGATTACCTTGGTAAATTTGTAAAAAATTAGTACTGTGTGAGTTACGTGTCTTCTCATTTCCACGGGGGTGGGGTGCTGCTGGTGCCCATGTGGCTTACCTTCTCTGCCCTGGGAGTGGTGGAATGGTGGCCAGGGAGCCTCCTCCTGGGCCCTGCAATTGGCTCACCCCTTCTGCCCCGAGAGCGGTGGAATGGTGGCCTGCCTAATAGCTTTTTTTTTTTTTTTTTTTGCTTAAATTCTTTTATTGGTGCATTTTAGGTATACAGTACGTTTGCATTTATCATTGGGTGCTTGTACCTGTAAATAGTGTATCTTAGTTCTTATTTTTTCCTCATTAACTGTGCTCCCTTCACCCCCCTCCACCCTTTCCTATTTACAAAGACTTTGTTTCTATTTTTTCCTTTTCTTGTAATTTTTCCTTTCCCTTCCTTCCTTTCCTCTTCCCCTACCCTTTTGCACCTTTTCTTCCTATTTCAAATTATCAATTATTCATTTTTTTTTAAGAAGGAGAAGGTTTATTTGGCTCACATTTCAGTCCAGGGTCAGCAGCTCCAAAGAAGAAACAGCGTGGCAGAGAGGCCTGGTGGAGGAGAGCTGCTCATGGCATGGCAGACAGGAAGCAGAGAAAGAGTGAAGGGCAGAGCCAGGGAGGGAGATACATCCCTCCAAGCCATGGCCCCAGAGACCTCCTCTTCCAACCAGACCTACCTCCTAACAGCAAGTCAGCTATGAGCCCCCATGATCTAGTCATCTTCCAAAACCCCTGTCTCTGAGGGCATGATACAGTTACAAACCATAACAGCTATTGCTTAGGACACAGGCTGACTATACATAAGCCTCTGAACACAGGCACAACATGAATATATTATATAAACATAACCATGCAAAGGCACAATAGATGTTTCTGTTCCATGTGTTCACATACTCCATCATATACAAAATAATCCCCCTTCCATTTGAGTGGTCAAGGTGTCATGGTTTTCATGCTAAACAACATTGGTTTTAATGAAATAAACACTTCTGAGGGGAAGGTCAGTGCATGTTCCTTAACCCAGTTCTAGAAACCATTGCTAAGGTGGCCAGAGGAGTTGCTGTGTCTTGAAAAGCACAGTCTTCATCATGATTTACCTGTGATGACACTCTCAATGGGTGGATTTATGAGGTTCACAGAGAACCTTTTCATACATGACTTCTAGGTTTGGTTTGGTTTAGCTGTCCTTTTGTTTAGACAGGATCTCACTAAGTTGCCCAGGCTGGCCTTGGACTTGTGATCCTCCTGTCTAAACCTCACAAGTGGCTAGGACTGCAGGTATGTTCCACCACACTGGATTTTTGTGGCCCCTGAATGAAGGTACAAGTGAGTATTCGTGGAACTGGTAGGACAAATCAAGTTCCAGGAGCTTTGTCTCTCACCTAAAGCAGCTCATTCATAGACCACAGGCTAGAGCCTACTAAAACAATGCCCAACCTTTGCTAGGTCATTTGCTAGTGGAGGAAAGGGCTAGAGTTCTAAAGAGGCCTCAGTGCTTAGGCACACTTGCCTCTCAAGGATTAATTTCTGACTTTATTCACTCTAAAAATACCTTCAGAGAACCTACTACATGCAAATGATCGAGGCACTTGTGCACACATCCAGTAGCCAAACAGGCCAGGCTTCACAGAGTTTGCATTCTCAAAACAGGAAGTAACTGCCAGGCATGGTGGTACTTGCCTGTAATCCTAGCACTCAGGAGGCTGAGGCAGGAGGATCACCATGATTCGAGGCCAGCCTGGAATACATAGTGAGTTCAAAGCCAGCCTGAACTATATAATGAGACCCTGTCTGAAAAAAAAAACAACAAAAAAACCAGGAAGCAGCCTGGTGAATTCAAGCAGGAGGTGAATTCAACCCAGCTACTCTCCTTAATGAAAGTAATTGTTAGGCGTGCCACAGCAACCAGCCCAGAGAAGACCTCCAGATCGATGTGCCATAGCTCCCAACCCAGAGGAGACTTCCAGGTCAGTGCATCAGGCTCCTAGGCAGGAGGAGGCTTCTGGGTAGGCGTGCCATGGCTCCCAGTCCCCAATTATTCACTTTAATAATTTTAATCCTTATTTACACTTTCAGCTTCTCACATTAGAGAAATTATTCAGTATTTACACATATGTGTCCTGTTTATTTCACTTAAGACTACCGCCTCAATATGCATGCATTTAGTTATGAATGTTTCTAGTTTCTCATTCTTTATGGCTGAGCAGTACTCCATTTTATTAAAAAACCACTTCTTTATCTAGTTTCCAGTTGATGGGCACTTGGGCTGTTTCCAAGCTTTAGCTATTACAAACTGTGCTGCTATAAATATGGGTGCACATATAACGCTGTGGTATGATTCTTTTAATTCTTTTGGGAAGATACACAGTAGGGGAATAGCTGGGTCAAGTGGGACCTCAAGTCCTAGTCCTTTGAGGTATCTCCATACTGATTTCCACAGTGGTTGGACCAGTCTGCACTTCCACCAATGGAG